ACCCCACAAGGTTTTGAGCATCTTCCATAAATAAATAACCATTCACTTAAGCCATGGAGAAGGAAGCCTCTTCTTCAGACTGCAGGATGAAATCCATCTACAGCTCACCTGGTTTTAATTCTACTTTTCCAGTGTTGCAATTTCAGAGCAAAGGCATTTTTTCCAGTTTAATTCACACAAACCCAGTTTTGTACAAAAGAAAACCGCCACGAGAGGGCATCCTATTTCCTTCTTTCTTCAAATCTCAGCATTTTCAAAGAGATCCTTCTTTCTGTAATAACTTGCACCTGAATATTTTGCGTTTAGATACCTTCTCAACCACTCCCAAATAGCAATATAGAATATGACAGCTCAAACCAAGCCATCTGTCATTCACAATGTTCAAGGAGCATTTGAAACTAAAGCTATCATACCTATCAGAACTGAAACAAATGGCGGGGAGGGGGAAGAGAGACCGAACATCAGCACTGCACTGAAAAATAAGCTGAATTTTATGAGGAAACACTACACACGTTTCACTCGCGCTACAAGTACTCAACATGTTTCAACTTCTGTTTACTAAACACTGTGTTTAGCACACAAACAAAACATGCCACTCCTACATCAATCTCAAGGCAACAAGACCTCAAACAGCATTCCCTAAAGCAGCAGCTTTTATTTCTGCTCTATCATCTGATTAAACTGTGCAACTGCACAAGTCAATGCTTCCCAGGTGGTAGGTCTAATTCATCAACCCATCCTATAGAAAGAGTATTCATCAATTCCAGGATAAATAAATTCCCACCAATTCCTCTTTCCATTGTTCAGGTAGTTAAATTTATGACCTTAGTCCAGATATTGCAACTGCAAATTGAATCATAAATTAGGTCAAACTTTAAAACCTAAGAATTAATCAAGTTTAATAATGCAATTTGCTTATCGTTTTGTCTCTGTAGCCAAGTCAGAGGTTTGCTAAAAGGATCTCAGCGCTGCAGCTCTTTCTTTTAGCTCTTCCGCTGACACCAGAGATGTATCAAGTCTTTCAGTGCTGCTGATCCTCCCAGTATGTGGCTTAGAAGAGATGAGCCTATCTTAATGAACTGTGCATATACAAAAGAACAATTAGTTGTTTGTTGTGGGTTTGTTTTTGGTTTTTTTTTTACCTTAGAGATTTGGTAATGTCCATCCACTGACCCTCAGACATGCAGGTAAGCAGGCGCTCGCTACATGGTAAGTTGACCTACCAAGGCTGCCGCAGGAAAAAAAGAAAATAATTTATGACATTAGCACAAAAATATGAAAAGACAGGAAAATATAACTTTTGCTGTAACTGATCTGCACCTTCAGCCATCTAAACGATCTGAAGAGTCTGGCCCTTCTGTACCTTTGAAAATTTTGCTCCATATCTTCCTTAAATTCCCTAATCCAGGTTTCTCACCGGTGCCCTGACCATAGTCAAAGGCCTTTTTGGCCGGAACAGCTATCAACTCTTTATCATGCCCAGACAAGAGAGATGGAGCTACTGGAGAGTCCCCACTGAAGGGCCATGATTATTAAGGGGCTGGAGCATCTCTTATATGAGGCAAGGCTGAGACAGCTGGGACTGCTTAGCCCAGCGGCGGCGCAGGGGGAATCTCAACAATGTGTATAAATAGCTGAAGGGAGGGTGTAAAGGAGAGGGATCTTTTCAGGGGTGCCCAGTGACAGGACAAGAGGCAGTGGGCACAAACTGAAACACAGGAGGTTCCACCGTGAACATGAGGACATTTAATACTTTTTTTTCTTCCGAGGGTGACTGAGTACTGGCACAGGCTGCCAAGGGAGGTTGTGGGGTCTCCACTCTTGGAGACACTCAAAAGCTGTCTGGACAGCAGAGATACTGCGATATTATAAAGGTATTAATTCTTGTTGGAGTTCTGGAGAAGCTCCATTAACAGCAAAGCATACATATGTTTAAAATTAAGCAAACCATAAGAATACACCACAATGATCTGCATTTCCCCTAGAATCAGGAAAAGTTACTTACCTGTTAAGTTTCATGTAACCTTATTTCTTCTTTAGAGGAAGGACAAAAGCATGCAGGAAGAGCAACGACTGGAAACAGTCAAAATAACATAGGTGCCTTTTCACTATACTGCACCCATGGCCCTGATCAGACAAACTGTTCCAGACTGGATGCCAGAAGAAAAACTGACAAAGACAAGACAGCAACAACTATTAAGTGCATTCTTTCGCCTCGTTACATTCCGTTATGGCCACACACCTCTTTTCTTACACATTTCTCTACGCAAAAGGGTTACACTCAGCCTGTGCTCCTCCATTCATATACTGTATGCTGCTTTGTTCTTTTTAAGTCACTCGGCACCACACTGACTTTCTTAAAAGCATTATGTTAAGGATCATTCCTTTACTCAGAGACCATGCAGTAAGGAGAGACAGCGGGGGGGTGCTTGGCATGAACAATGCTGGAAAGAGCATGAAGTATTCCTACACCCACTGTTCCACCCTCCTTAAACACAACAGAAGTTTACAGGCAGCGGTGCAGCAAAGGCTGAGGAAGAGAGAATTGAAATGAGGAGCGGAATACCAGCCCCATACCTCTCTGAGCATCAAGAGGACTATGGCTCGAGGATAGCAATACTTCATATTCACCATTACTAGGGACACCCTTCAACATATCAGCGTTGACTGAGATCAGACATCTAGAAAGGGCAAATATTTGACATTTGGGGCAATGTGAGGAACTGCAGCTGCTAATAGAATCTGATCTTTCTTGCATCTGTCTCACTTTCTTCTCAGTGTATGACTATACAGATAAACACATTTCTTGGCACCCAAAGCAACTGATTTACCTAGGGGGGTTAACCCCAAGGTCTACTTCAAACTGCAAGTAGAATGCTTATTAGTTGACCAGCAACCAAAGGTCCATAAAACAAGTGCATTTTTGCTGCTCTACGAAACAGTCAAGCTAGAAGTTTGAAAAACAGCTGCAATATCCATTAACATCTGGGATCTCCATGCCTCTTTGAGCTCAACAAATGAGAAATCCATCCAAATTCACGGCTGCATCTCTAAACTCCTACAGCAGACAAAGGGGATCTTTCTGCACAAGGAAATGAAAACAGAACACTTCTGTGGTTTGTCTTCAGAAGAAGATGCAAGGTTAGATGCTATTCCTAGCACAGGCTTTTGAAGGTACCAAGACTGGCACGTGCAGAAGCTGTTAAGGGTTCCAAGTTTCTAAATACACACTTGAAACATCTAAGGTATGCCTGTGGTAATGTTTTCTGCACTTTCAGCATCATTCCTGCAAATGGTCACCAGACAGCAAAGCTCCAACAGATAACACTCTGAAGAGCTATAGCTGCTTTTGGCAGGTAGCTCAACATGTTGGACCAATGGTCCAGTTCACATAATTTATACAAAACAAGCTCAACTTTTCTATCATGATTTCTATTTCAGTATTCACAAAATGTTTACCTGCTCCTTCTCAGACTGGGAACCAGAACATATTAAGTGTCAAAGTTACTAATGCAACAAGCAGCTTAACAATACACACTTATCTTGTTACTGCAAACAGCTAAGGAAGTCATAATAAATATAACACACAAGTATACAAAGAGTCCCCAAAATTTTATTTAGAGAAACATGTTCAAATGCAGCATTGAAAACAGAGAGAGTGGAATGCCAATAGCCAGAGAACTTATGCCAAGTTACGTTTTCTTTGATAAACTAGCACCATTGAATCACAAGTCACAGACTAAATTATTTCTAGAGGTGTAGAAAACCTCCACCATTATAAAATTTCTATGAGTTCTATTAAAAATCGGTTCTCAATATACTAATCCTAAAGAGATGAAAGCAGTCTGAAGTACAAGTTTTCGTATCTACTCATTATTCAAGTTACCCATAGAAGACAGTTTATTCTTAAGTCTAAACATCCTGATCAAGGGGAAAAAATGCCTAAAAGTCAGCTTCACAAGTCTTTACAAACTAAACAAGTAAGAAAGATCTACTGTGTTATAAATATACACAGTACAATATGCACAAGTCTGATCTTACAAAAGAAGAGCTTCCTAGTCCATAAAAATACTAACTCAGCTACAAAATTTTCTTAGTGTTTAGTCAAGCTGCCTCAAGGAGTCACTATTTCAAATTCCTAAAACATCGATTTGTTCCATAGCACAGCAGCTTGAACATGTTCACAACAGGAAAGAGCCCAACACTTGACCATAAAATTGATTTCTAATCCTAATTTCCCACTCAAGTTTAGTGGTAATGTCAGTGTTTGCTATCTATTTTAATGTCGCAAGACCTTTACATATTTCTAGACTGTGTTCGAACTACTGAAAGTGCTGAAAGTGCGACCAAAGAATAGAGTTTTGTATCCATTTTCCAGTACACTTTTCTCTGGCACTGGCAACAATACCAAGTATTCATAGGTCTGTGAGGTCAAAAAGGCACACGCTCATTTGTACATGCTCAGATACACACATGCACTTTGCTTTAAAGACCCGCCCCCAAATATCAAAATGCTTCTTTCTGAGTAGGGAGCTTCAAGAATTCCTTACAAACGGTTTAATGCAGGTGCCTGGAATTTATAAATACCTTGATACAAACTGCTTAAACTGACTGAGATGGTGGAAAAAAAAATGGGGTTTGTTTTAAACTTACGGTATCCAAGTATTGCTCTGGAATACAGAGAAACAAAGTCTATGCTCTCTCACTCTATCAAGCGACGTCCAGGTTACAGTAGCCCATGTGATTTATCATTTCATTACAGTTAACAGTGCATATGTGAGCGTACACATATACATAACACTCCCTCAGTATTTGTTCTTCTACTGGAGACCATCTGCAGTCTGAATGAATATAAAACTATGTGAAGAACATTTCAAGCAATATCCTTCTGTACTTACACATACAAGTACAAGAAATAATAAAACTGAACTGTACCTCAACCAGAAAACAGACTTTCACTGACACGCAAGCTAACATTGCTTCCTTTTCACTTTCCTTCCCTACAGTGGTCTTCTACGACATGCATCATAATAACTAGTGCTGTTAAAAACCAAGAACATATCCCTCTTGACAAAGTTAACAAATTTTTCTAGTGGGCACATCGGCTTGCTGGAACGTTTATAATAATCCTTGCAAAACGAGGTCTGGAATGTGACATCAGCGCCATTATACAGGATGCGGATAAAGTGTTCTTTGGGTCTCTTCCCATCCTGCCACAGCTCAAAAACTAATCTGGCAGCGAATCTTGGAAATCTGGCCTCTGTAATGCCCAAGGCACTAAGAACAGGTGACAACGTGACATCGTGTGCAGAGTAAAGAACAAATACTTCTTCTTTCTTGCCTTCTGCAATACGCTGTAGCCGATTAACAGTCTGGTTGAGAAGAGGATGAGTAGCCAATAGTGCATACAAGAAATAGAGTTTCTTTTCCTGTCTCTCTCTCTCATCCTCCAACTGATGTCTTTTGATAACTTTGAAGTGTTCCATACCAATGCAACCAGTTTTGGTACACGGAAAACTGACGTTGTGACAAAAATAGCACAGGAGAGAATCTATTGGATTAGAAGCTCTCAACTGCCTGGTGGGAATGCCTACAATCTTTGCCATATCCACATATATTTTCTCCAAATCATTGTTTTTCACCCGTAAACTGTACTGTCTGCGCTGTTCCTCTTCTAGGTAGTGGTTTCGCATAGGACAGTCGCAGCTTCCAGAGCAAAAAATGGTGCTCCACTGATGCCTCATGTTAATTTTCTTCCAGTCAAAATCTGGCAAGAAAGTGTAGAGCAGTGCCAGTGCACTCTGCAGGGTTCGACTTTTTCCTGTCGTCTCCAAGTAGAGCTGTTTTGCTGTCCAGTCACTCAGAAGCAGTTTATGTTTGTTTATATAAATTTCTCGTAACAGTTGTCCATTTCGCAAGTGTTGTACAACCCCTGGAAGAGATTTTTTTTCAAGAAGTTACAACACATGATTAGCATATTCTTGGTTCTGGAGAAAAAATAAAATACACAGTTAGCAGTCTCACTGATAAATGCACCATTAGTTAAAGGGTTATGAAATTTAAAACTGAACTTCACCTATGCTTGACTATTAGCAAAATTGCACAAAATAGATACTCGCTTTTCTTCAGTATTTCTCAGATTCCAGGAGCGAAAGCGAGATATAGATAGAAAAAGCTGGTTCCATAAAATTTCTTTAAAACCTTAGTGGTTTAATGTTTGATCTTTGGACTAGAGACACGGACCGAATGTGTCTAATGATTACAGAAGTTAAGATGGTTATGGAGATGGATGCAGGCTGCATCTGAGCCAGCTTTTCAGACAGGCAGCGAACGCTGTGATCCCCGCAAATTTACGGCAGCCAGTAAAAGTACCAGCAGTCAGGAACAGAACATAAACTAGTGGGTAAACTCACAAAACACAGAGGCAAGGTGTGGCAATCGCAGCAAAGTTCCTTTTCCATCTTTCTTCAGGAAGTACTCAAACCGCTTGATAATTCTAACACTAATGCTCCCCTTTATCGAGCTGGAAAGGAAGAGGGTGCGTATCCTTCTCTTTACCCCGGCATCCACCTTGCTTGTGTTATCCTCTCACAGCAAAGCGACGGGCATGAACCCTTTACGCACTAGGACATTTTTCTAACTTGCTACAGGCAGTAGGAGCCCCAAACAGTAACTCGGTTACAAGCTGTGTGCAGGTTGAATCCGCTTTCTCACGCAACGTGCTGTGTTAGGAAGAGCTCCTTGGTAACCCGATTAGATTCCTCCCGAGGTCACTTTGTAAAACTTGACATTGGCCTAACAAATACTCCTTCTGATGGGATCCCAGAACGTGTGAGGATTTGAAAGGCAAATTTTGGACTCAAAAATACAAGAGATTCCTGGAAAGACGGGTGTCAAAAGGAAAATGGTGCCAATTCCCCAAATCTTCAACACTATTTTAATTCTCTCTAGTGAGTCTCTAAACTCATTGACTACCCAGACCCACTGTGATATGCCCTTTCAGTCACAGGTATTTAAGATAAAAAGAGCAACACAGTTAAAAGCAAGGTGTGGAAATAAAATGGAATGGAACAAGATTAAAATTTGAAAAGACGTAGGAGAAAAGTATTATTAATGTGAATTTTCTAATTAAATTAATGAATGTTGAAGAGAAAAATCCACATGTGACTAACTCTTTTCAAAATCGCTTTTCTACGCAGTTGTGCAACAGTATGTTTCCACATGTTTGTGGGAAAGCACTCCTGTATTTTCGTTTCTGACACACTGCTACAAATACACGCAGAACAGTGCGGGAAGCAAACACATGGACTTCAGTTCATACCAGGTCAGCTGGCTATTCTTGTTGGAGAACACTATTCCACGAGCTGTGCAATCTGTGAAAATCTGTTTCTTACAAAGTGTCAACTTTCTTCTGTACTTCTGTCTTCTTATCTTTTGTTCCCCTCATGTTTTCTACCTCCCGCTGACAGCAGCCCCAGACCCTTTCCCATGGCCCTTTTATCACTGCTCTGGTCCAGCACTACCTCCGCTTTCCCTCTCCAATCCCAAACGCCCGCAGCCCCACGATACTCACAGCTCTCCACATACCTTCTTCTACACAGTCAAATCCCTGACTGCAACACTTCCAGTTACCTCCCATCTCCCCTACCCTTTTGGTATAAGCTAGGTATGTTCACTAGCGGAGTTCAGCAACCTTTCTCTCAGTGGTAGTGTTAATGAAGACTCAAAACTTCATTTTTAAAGAAGTTGCTTGGAATTTAATTGATGATATTTTCACCTTTTCTCCCAATACCTAGCTCAGCAGACCTGATAGATGGAATAAGAAAATAAGCTTCATCTTCCTGTGATGAAACACACATCAATAAATAGCCAGAAAACATGCTTTGTTAAAAAGCAGGGGGTGAGAGGGAGGGTGGGGGAAGAAAAACTAAACTACATGTTTAGAAGTTTTTCTGTTTCCATAGTACAAGCATCAAATACGTCTGTTACATCTGAATCTCTTGCAGGGGACACAGTTAATTAAATCACAGGTAAAAACTGGCAACTAAGCGATTCTTCTTCAGTTCCAGGGCCACTCTGAATCACAAACCAATCGGGAAAAGAGTGCCAGGTCTTCCTTGGGAGAGATTGAGCAATGCCATTTTTCACAAGGGTGACAAAGCGATTTTGTGGTATGGAGCAACATTAAGGAAAGGTGCTCTGACTTGTTACAAATAAAGTTAAAAAACGTGCCATGCGTGATCAATCTGTCACAGAATTGGCAAGCATGGTTTCTAGAACTGTTACGACTTTTACGGCAGAGAGTCTAATACTTTATTCATATCCCAGCATAACCTAGGCTACAACCAACATTATAAACTCCCCATTAAAAAAAGCATTTATTTCAATATAAGGAAAAACAGAATATCCCTGTTCATGCAGACTGTATTTAACGGAGCAGAAGAAAAGACAAAGCTGCTATGGGAACTTACCTGTCTGTGTAAGCTCTCCCATTTCGCACAAAGAATGACTAGGGTAACGAGGCAGGCTGCTTAGGGAACCATCCATTTGGGCTGCAGACCCTTTGGACATATGTTTAATGAAAGCTTCAAGCTGAGGATGAGAAGGTTTCCTAGAGAGGTAAACCAAAATGTGAAAACTTCCAAAAGCATATGGGAAAGCAGCTCAAGAGAGTCAAGTATTCTAAGTATGTCAGCTCAGAAATTTCATGGTGTGAGGTTATTTCCACTGAGACAACATCTGCTCTTACTCAGGACTTTTGCAAGTATGCGAAAGAAATGTAAGTACTTACTAACTGCCAAAGAACTACAGGGAAACCGATGTCTTCTCATGTTAAAATTATGATACCTTTCGGTAAGTAATTTGGAAATAATTTTTTTGAATGTAGTCACTAATACTGTTGTGAATTAAGAAAAAGAACTCCTTACCAAAAAATACTCTCTCCAGTTTCTGAAGTACCATTGCACTTTAACACCAAAGCCAAAGGCACTAACAGTCTCAAGGGGTTCAAATACCCAGTGTTTTAAGTAGATGATCTTGAAGGAATTCTCAAGTTTTGTAATGTACAATGCTGATTACAATCTCAGCTTTTATTTCCAATTACTTCAGGCTTCAAATCAAATAGCACATGTAGTCTCAGTTAGGTGGTACCTGGAAAGTAGTATCCAGTGGCCCCATTAAAACTGGAAGTCATTGTTTTGAGTATTGTACTATCACATGGGAAGAATGAGGCCAACACTGCTGGACGCTTAAACAGGTAAGATACTGCCACAATGCAAGTAATGAATACAACTGGAAAAAGGATATACACAAAAAAAGTCTAGGTTAACTCACTGAAACAGAATTCAAGTCAGTGAAAGAATGCTTAGATCTCCTAACCTGGTCTGCAGATTTCAAATACACTACAGACTCAGTTCACTGTCGTACCATTGCGCTGAAAACTACATCTACACACCAGTCCACAAACACTAACTGAAAGGGATTTAAACCTTTAGAAAAATAAAATCTGTGATCACACTTCTACACAGAAATACATTACGTAGGGATTTCTTAGTTAAACGTCAACCTTCAACAAGTGTCACACAGTCACCTCTCTACTTTTGTGCAGAACTAAATTAGAAACTGTTTGGCAACCCAACTCTGCCCCGGATGGTTCTCATTTTAATAGGACTTTTAGCCAGAATATGGTAATTTTTCCTTTTTTTTTTTATGTTGCTCACAAAAAGATACGTATATATAGAGAAAGAGGATAAATTTGGTCAGAGAGCTTTTACAGAAGCCTGGGGTTTGTGTTTATTGTTCATATTTACACTTTGTTAAAACCATAAACGGTGTTGATACAAAAACCTCAGGTCTGAAAAGAAACCCTTGCAGAGTTGCAGGAACCACAAGAGGGAGCAATAACACTACTGAAGCATGCAGAAGTGTCTGGCATCAGAGTTTACTGGGACAAAGACGTTCGCGTTTACATAGAGGAGCCAACTGAGAAACTCTCTTAAATGAGAAAGCACCTCCTGCTCACAGCATCCATGTACAGGAGGTTTCATAAGAATCACTGCCTCTTTCAACAGAAAGGTAGCTCATTGTCATAGTTTTATAAAACTTGATTTTTCCAGTGTTTAATTTACTTGCAGAAACAAAAATGTTGGGAGGAAAATGTTACAATAAATTATGGTACAACCGCCAGTGAGAAAAAAGGCAAAATGAGGGAAAAATAGAGCCAATTTATGACATTCTAGACCCACAGCTTCCTCTCTATTATAATTTTAACACCACAAATGACGATTAATATTTGAGAAGCAGAGGTCCATAAAAAAGCTTTGTTCCTTTCGAAAGCAACGGAGGCTTCCTCTTGCACGAAGCACGCATTAGAAAGCTTAATCCAGCCCCAGAGTGAATTTCGAAACAGAACTTTTGTACATGGCACTATTTTCACAATCCAGCAGTGCAATCTAAAAACGGAAGAATTAAATTGAGAAAATTAAATTAGCAAATAGCTTTTTAAGCTTATTACAGATGTAGCAAGCTGAACTACCAATTTTCTAAACCTTGCGCTTTAAAAAACTCTAAACATGAATAACCTGTCCATCACAATTTGCCTTAAACCCTGATTACTTAATTAGCCAGTTCCACAGATACACGTGCATGAAAACTAAACGAACTGCGTCCTCCATTCTGCTGCTTTTGCTGCTTTGCTCACAAAAACCTGAGTTCTAGCGGAATCAAACCCGTACTGATAAAACTATCAGCAATCACTTGTGGGAAGGAAGAAAGGAGAGAAGAAAGAAAAGTATTTATCAGTGTTTTGCAAAAAGATTTATCTAAAAAATGGCAGGCAAGCTAAACTAATATCCAAGATAAAATAATAAAGTGTATGATAATCGATAAAATTCTATTCTAATGTATTACTTACAGCTTTTCATATACACATGTAGATGCAAGTTACTTCACTTTGGACTACATCATAACTACTACATTATTTTTAAAGTGAGGATAAGTTAAGCACATGCTTGCAGAAATTAATTTTGAAATATGATTGTTAGACATATTTCTGAATATAAATTCAAAGCTTACTACTTGTTAAATATATTCGGGGCTGGGGGAGGATATGAAACAATAGAAATAGGAGCCATTCTGCCGGAAGGGGACAGACATCTCAGGCTACGATATACTTTTATCCTGAACGTAATCCTCATGTATGTAACCACATTCTGAACATACCAGCAATTCTCCTGATTAACCCCGTACAACTGAGGAAGTAAAAACTTATTTTTCTCCACAGCAACATTTACAGCACCACTCAGGCTACTGGCTAACAACTGATTCGCCGCCCTGCCCCAAGCCTTTTATTTAGAATACGAATCCTCCTGTTGAATTGGCCAGTTTGGAGATGCGGCAGGAGATGGAGTATCTAGGCAACAGCTAAGAGCGCAGGGACTGTCTGAGCAGGAAGCGAAGAAAATTATTCAGTTGTACAGTTGAAAAGGCTGAAATTTCCTTAAAATTTTATTTCCATAAAAGCAGTCAGAAAATAAAAACGGGCTAAAGAGATATCCATTAGATCCATAAAGAGATATTCCGTAATTTGCTGGACATTACAACGGTCAGCTACCACATTTGGGAAACATCTTAATACAATAAATATTTCACATTTTGTCAGAGCATGGAATGGCTTTTCACCTAACACCATGAGTAATAGCCATACATTTTCATAATTTTGGACATTTATTTCCCACTGTTAATGTCTGTTAACTTGCCTTTTAGTGGTTTTATTGTTGTATTTATCTGTAGCAAATAGTAATTTTATATTTATCTGTAAAATTTATCTGTAACAAAACTGAGGATGCTTCTTTCCCCTCTATGAATTCAGCTTGTCCTTTTGTTATTTACAAACTAAACACCGGGATAACAGATCCCAGATTTAATAGCGCAGTTTTCATGCATTAGCATTAAAATGGACCGGGATTTCAATCCTTATTCAACATTTAAATATCTTATTTGTAAAGGTCTTAAAAAGCTTTAATACCGAAATGTCATCCCTTTATTGCTACACTGTAACCCGTGTACATGGAGAGAAATCATACTGTGCAACTATTTGAACTATACGTGTATTTCTGTCAGCAACTGAGTTGACATCCTTCAACAAAAATTTCCCTTTTCCTTGAGAAGTTTAGGTACAAAAATGTAGAGTTCGGGTTTCTTTATGAGAAGCAAACACTAACTTGCTCGTTGTTCTGAATTAGCACAGCAAAGTGAGAAATACAGTACCAGAGCGAGCATATGCACGTGACACCTCAGAAAATCTGCCGGTAGATTTTGGTTGGCTTAGCTATAATGGCACTAAATACTGTGTCAGAAAATACATTTATTGCTTCTATTATATTTGTGCAAAGGTATGAAATATAACTCGTGCAGCTTAACATTAAGTTCAAACATATTATACAGCAAAGCCTCAAGCCTTGCACAGCAGCACTCAGACTTTGTTGTAGGACATTTTTGCACCTCACCCCCGTGAGACTAACTGAATTCAAGACTTCAAGGCTCGTATTTAGGAACTGCTATGGGAGACAGGGAAGCTTTCTGCCCCTCGATAAAGTGATGCTCAGACTGTTTGAGCGCATTGAAGCCTCTTTCAGTAAGAGGGTAACTCTTTGAGCTAATTGCCTTTGTTTAAAAACAAATAAAAATAAAATAATAATAGTCATCATCATGACCACAATCACAGCATGAAGACCATTTCTGGACTTGATAGTTAATTCACAGAACGAGAAGAAAATCATCCTTGCTTCTCAGGGCTACTTGTCTCAGGACCACTCAGGAAAATATTGCTATTGACTCATATTGTTTATTTGTGAAACGCTTTATTCCCCAGTGATCCTTGTGAGCAGAAACTGTTTGTATTAAAGAATTAAAACATAAATAGAAATCAAATGTAGGGCTGAGTTTTGTTCCTCGTTTGGACCTAAGCTGCAAAGCAGACTCAACAAGGTCAATTTTGTCAGAAATTCCCCACCCCTCAGTCCTTAGGTTTATTAATTTTAGGACTACTTTTGAAGAAAATTAATTCCTTGATAGGAACAGGCTGAGATTCCTTTAACATTCTTTCCTATCAACACTATTGGACCACTGAACTACTGCCTTATTTCTACTCTGTATACTATAAAATGAAGTACAGTGTAAGCTTTGTTTCTTCAGCAAGGTGGTCAACAAACCGCAGCATTCAGTCTGTCCTCTGACTCGTTAAATTGAATACTCTTTTGAACCACCTACAAATTTCAGACTACATATCTATAAAAATTGCCAAGTTAATCTAATTAAGATGAAGTACAGTAGTTAAGAAACAGATGTGGGAAGACATTATCTTGACAAGACTACATGCAACTTACAGTTCATTTAATAATTTACCTGTTCATAAAAATTCAAGAGTGGCATAAATAATGTACCTTCAGTACCACATAAGATGCTACAGACAAAAAAAATACATTGGTCAAGGTTATTAAAAGAGAAACTGCAACAGAAGAAATACGTTAATTACTGAGATCAATTAGAGTCATTTATTGAAAAGCTAAAACTGAATAGTTAATCAAGCAGAAAACTAACAGCAGATTACAG